GGGGGGGGGGGGGGGGGGGGGGGGGGGGGGGGGGGGGGGGGGATCACGGAGTCAGCACATCGGCAGAGGGACACCGCAAGAGCATGAGGCAGGCAGAGAGGAGGCACACACCGAAGACCTCAAGGGCGACGGACTCGACAGTCTTCATGGCTGCGCGATCTGCAGAGGACAGGAACAGGGGAAAGGGAGAGACAACAAGCAAGAGGGTAGGCGAGAGGGATGAGGAGGGGTGCCGATTGCCCGGGCACTCGGCCAGGGGCCGCCCCGGAAGCAATTCAATTGCCCCCGTGAACCCCCGGCAGGGGCAATGGACCCAAGCGCGCGCATCAGCACCGACGCATCGCCCCCCCCCCCCCCCCCCCCCCCCCGGCGCTCTCAACGCCGGAGGGAACACCAACACAGTAGGGCCCTTCGCCGCGGTGTGTGTTCACCGTAGGCGTGCCAATGTGCCCGCGCCACACACACACACACAGATACACGCACGCACGCACGCACGCACGCACGCACGCACGCACGCACACACGCACGTACGGCATACCCACAGTCCTCCAACCCACAGGCGCCCGGAAAAAAGGCGCGATCCCAACCGAGGAGTGTCGCGTGATGTGCAGTATGGAATCGCAGAACGGGCAGAATTCACGTGTTCGCGCAGCTGTATATTGAGGTCTAGGAGTGGGGTGGGTGGGACGCGGACGTAAAGCCTGCGAGCCAGGGAGAGTGGCTGGCACGCGAGCGGGAGTAGGAGGAGGAAGGGCGCTGACAAGGGCCCTGCTACTTGGACAGCTCCGGGTAGGAGGCGTAATCGCGCCCGCGGCGGAAGTGGAAGTGATTGCGAGAGAAGTCCGCGCGAATGGGCGAGGCCATGTGCGCCCGGTTGCCAAGCGACTCCGGGGCCAGGTGACGCCAGACCGAGTAGTAGAGGCGCTCGAAGAAGGGCATCTCGGCTTGGAAAGAGAAGGACGCGCGGCCAAATGGGCGTGAGTATGCGAGGGGCAGGGAAAGGGGGGGGGGTGAGGGGGAGAGCCACAGGAGGCCACATGGGCGTACCGATGGCAGTCTCATAGAAGTAGGTCATCACCCCGCGGTCAATGGCCGATGCGGCCGAGATGTTGAAGTAGTCCTCACTGGCATAGAGGAAGTTATGCTGTTGAAGGATCTACATGTGCGTGTGCGTGTGCGTGTGCGTGTGTGTGCGTGGAAGAGGAGCTGTTAGTGGAAGCGGCGAACGAGGCGGGCAGCGTGAGCAAGCCAGAAGGGAGGGAGGGGGGGGGGCGCACTGTAAAGATCGGGTCGCCCTTGACCTCGACATCATATGGCTCCAGCGGGTAGACAGTCCAGTTGACCTGGTGCATCCGGTGGAAGACGTCCACAAACCGACGCAAAATGTACGGGTCAATGTCACGCGTGGAGATCGCTGCATCGGAGCCGGTTGCCGTCTTTGGAGCTTCATCATCCATGGAGACCTCCGGCATCGAGCTGCGGCTCACCTGGACCAGGCTGTGGAGGGGAGGGCAGAGAGAGTGAGTGTGTGTGTGTGTGTGTGGTTGACAGAGGGGGAGAGAGAGAGAGGGGGAGGGAGGGAGGAAGACAAATAGATCGATAGGCAGATAGGTCGACAAAGGGCCAGGCAGAGGAGGGAGCAAGAGAAAGAAAGGCAGAGCACCGAGGATGAGGGCGACAAGTTGCCAGAGAACCGCCCTCCAAACCGGCAGGGATGAAATACGCACAGATCGTAGAGCTCGCGCATGCGCTTTTGGTAGATCGGCAACAGGGCCGCATAGTGGATGTCCCGGCGGGCGGGAGTCAGGGCGGCTGGCAGATGCTGCGCCAGACGGGGATCCGGGACGAGGGACCGTGCCAGCCGCGAGGCACGCCACAGAGCAGCCGTCGGCGACAAGCCGGCCAGGTCAGTGCCAGCCCGACGATCCCGCAGAGACAGCTCAGCCGCCCGGAGGAGACGCGTCCGCCGAAGGAGCGGGTCTGCCTGGGCAGCGGCGACCAACTTCTCGGCCATCGCCAGCCCCGCCTCGCCCGGGGCCTCGAGCTGGCGCACAGTCTGAGCGTATGCGTGGAGATCCCCCGGGGCCGTGCCCAGGTACTGGTGCAGGTCCCGGTGGTAGCCGCGCCAGGCGGACTCGGCCCACGGATCACCCTTGGACCAGAGCGGCCGCAGCAGGTACTTCATGTAGGCCAGGACATTGGGCGTCTCGGCCGAGGGATAGGGCGGCTGGCGCGAATCGATCATGCGCGCCGGCTCGTGGAGCAGACGCAGCGGGTGCAGCAGGCCAGCCAGGGCCCCAAGGGACCCGGACGCCCGAAGTCGAGCCAGGCGGTTCGCCAACACCGGCAGGAAGTCTCCCACGGATCGGGGAATTTCCCGGTCCAGGTACGCGAGGTACTTGCGCCCGACATCCGAGTCCAGGGTCCGGGGGTTGGAGGAGACCAGCTTCCCCTGGCGATGCAGGACCAAATCCATGCTCACCTGGGCCTGCTCAATCGGCTGGAAGTCCCACTCGTCCAGGGGGAATCTCAGCTCCGGGGCCGTGCGCTCTAGGCCCAGCAGTGGCGCCAGCTCCCGCCCGAGGGCAATCTCCGCACTGAGCCAGTGGGCGGGCTGCATCTCGGCCATGCGAACGCGATGCGAGCGGAAGGCCAGCTGCGCGTGGCACGGCACACCGTCGCACGGACAGCCGGGCGGGGGAGGGGGGGGGGCGAGGGAGCAACGGAGACGGGGGTCAGGAACAGGCCGGAAGACAGAGGGACGAGGCCGGGAGGAGCCGGCAAAAAGCCGCCACACGAACCAAAATCTTATCCTCGGTGTCCACACGCATGAAGGAAGAGTCGGACATGTCCACCAGCATCGGGGCGCTGAGGTTGAAACCGTCAAACTCATTGCCCTGCGCGGTAGGAGGGGGCAGCGGGGGGGGGGGGGGAGGGGGACGACCAGTTAGCGGGACGAAGGGCAGGCCGAATTCCCCAGGGCCCGCGGGCAGCAGCGTACCCAGTACCGCGCGAACATGGAATCAAACAAGGCATACTCCCGACGGAGGTCATACTCGTCGGAGGCGGAGAGGCCCGGCGGCGCAGGAGTCGGGCGGAAGGGAGGGGGCGGCCCGGTCGGAGGTCCGGACTGGTAAACCACCTCTCGGCTGCCATCCGCCGAGGAGCCGAACCCCCGGAGGACCAAGTTGATGACGGTCCCCTGGCCAGAGGCCACAGACGCCAGCTCCAGCAAGGCCGGCAGTGTGAGAGCACCATCGCGAGTGCCTGCGGCATCGAGCGGCTCGGTCGCTCGGCGGCATGCCTGCCGGTGCTCAGCCCCGGCAAGGGCATCCACCAGCAGGCCCACCAGTCGGGCAGCATCATTCGAACGGGGGCCGAGGCTCCCGGCATCCTGTGTCGCTGGCTCGCCGCGAAGTCGGACCTGAGGGAGCAGCTCCGCCTCGATGGCCGCCAGCCAGGCAGTCGGCTCGGCGGTCTTCAGCTTTTCCTGCAACGCGTGGAATTGCAAACACACGGGGTGGCATATGGGCAGGTGGAGGGGGGGGGGGGGGGACCGGTGAGTGGACAGGCAGGCGGGCCGATGAGCAGGCGGGCAGAGGAGGAAGCGGTGGGCCGTGACGGAGGCAAGAAGCACAGGGGCCATGCCCAATACGCACCAGCACCGAGGTGAGCAGAGCCGCATCGACGGCCGAATAGTCGAGCACCGTGTCAGCCAGGGCCCGCCCGGCGGCCAGGTCGCCCAGGTGCTGGCTCACGCGTGCGGCCACCCCGATTCCAAGACTCGGCACCCGGTTGGATGACCGGTAATCGGGCGGCGCATTGGAGCTATACCGCAGCCGGGGGCAGTTTGGGTCGTCGGCCGCCGCGGCAAAGTGCGTCACCGGGTGCTCCGAGGGGACCCGGTGCAGGCGATCGCGCAGGGCTTCAAAAACATTGGACGGCGCATTGGTGAAGGCCTGCGTGTGGGCGAGAGGGCGGAGGTCAGCATTGGGCGGATGCGCACCCCCTCGCGAGGGGGGGGGGGGGGGGCCGGGTGCCGCCGCACGCGAGCGCACCTGCGAGAAGGACAGCTCCAAGCCGCGGAGGCGCTGGTGAAAGGGGGCCGGGGACGCTGGGGACACCTGCTCCCAGAGCGGCGACCCGACTCCAAAGTCCAGCGGCGTGCGGCAGCCATCGAAACCCTGGAAGACCACCAGACGCCGAGATGCACCGGCCGGCCCGGTCGGGGCCTGGCCGTCGAAGAACACCCGTGCCGGGGCGTCCGGGATGGCGCGCATTGGCACCAGCCCCGTGGTTATGGTGGACACGCTGCGGACCGGGGGATTGGCCGCAAAGAGGGTCCCCTCATCCAGGGAGTAGGGAGCTGGCGGACGGATGCCCGGCATCGTGTGGACGTCCTGGTCGGTGGGATCCACCAGACCGAGGGCCACCCGGCCACCGAGGTCGCCAGCCGTGGCGGATGCCGAGCCTGGGCGCTCCGGCGCGCCGGCCTCCTCGCCCGGGAGCCGGATGTTCGGGTGCGCCAGTCGCGCCAGGGTCCGATCGATGAGGCGCGTCTTGCCGATGCCCCGCTGGCCAATGAGCAACAACATATTCGCTGGGTCACGGAGAGGCCGACCCCACGCCGATAGGAGGGTGAGCATGACATGCAATGGGGGGGGGGACATGCACCAGAGGCCGAGAGGGCGAGGGGGAGAGAAAGAGCGCGCGCAGCGGGGCGTACACTGGAGCGGCTTGTCCAGATAGCGTTGAATGGTCAGGAAGGGCATCTGCTCAGGGAGCTGGATGGGCGACAGGGTGCCCTGGGCCGAGGAGGGCGGGACGGTGGCCGTCGGGGCGCTTGGCGTCAAGGGCAGCTGCGTTCCGCGGGCCCGCGCCATCCGCGCGCGGAAAAGGACAATCCCCCGGCTGGGGGCGCGGCCATACAGACCGGCCGGCGGGAGGGACTCCGAGGTGGCGGGGCTAACGAGCGCCGCGGCCGTGCGTGCCCCGTGCGAGATAACCGAGCCCCGGCCGGGCAGGAGAGAGGCGGCCCGGGCGGAGCGGCGAGCGAGCGGCGCGAGCATGGCCCGGAGAAGTGTGCGGAAGGCAAAAGGCTGGGCCACAAGTCCGGGAGAGAGTGAAAGGTGGGTGGAGTGGGCAACGAGCACGAGCAGGGGGAAGATCACCAATGAGGAGGAGAGAGGGAGAGAGAGAGGAAAAAGCGGGTGGGAGAAGCGGTGTGCCTGCCGGGGCGCCGCCCTGGCCGAGAGGCGCGCCTTCGGGTCGCTTGAGTCGGTACTCCACTCAAACCGGTCGCGTTGGGCAGGGACCCTGCACGATCGCGCACCCCCTCCCCCCCCCCCGGTATCAGCCCTTCCCTCGCACTTTGGGGGAGCAACATCCCGCCTGGCCGAGGCAGCTGATGCACGGCCGGCGGTCGGGGTCCGACCGCAGGACGGTCTCGTAAACACCCGCGCCCCGGCGGCGGCGGCGGCGGAGGCGGCGGGGAACAGAGCCCGCCGCGGCCGGCCCTGTTAGAGGGCACACGTTTGTGAGTGGACCGGACTGACAATGGAGCCGTGCGAGCCGCGGATCTGAAATCGTAGATCACGCGCGAGGATGGGCACTTGGACGCTCGGCGCGTGGACCGCACGGGTCCCGGCCCCGTCCCTGTTCTCCCGCCGCCCGCCGGCCGCCGCCCGCATCCGCGCCCGGGGGCGCACGGGTCTGAGGGCGGCTCACGCGCGGCGCGTTTGCGCACCGCCGACGCGCACAAAGCCATTCGGTCAAGATCGCCGCCGCATGGTCGCCGGGGCTGGGCTCGGCCCGAGGCGGACACCGGGGGCGGGGGAGAACCGGCGACCACACCCGGGGAGAAGGGGCCGCGCCCTGCATCCGGGGCAGTGACGCCCCCGAAAGCATGCCCCCGTGCCTCTCCCTCGCCCCTCCCCTGCTCCCTCCCCCCGTCCCCGCACCATCTTTTCCTCCCTCTCCCCCCCCCCCCCCTCTCCCCCCTCCCCCGTTCCCCTCTCCCTTCCCGCACATCCCCTGCGATGGTCTCCGGCTCCGAGAAGCGCAAGCGCCGGCAGCTTGCCCGGGCCCAGGCCGCCAAGGCCACCACCGAGAAGTACGCACATCTGGCCCGTGGCAGCAACTCTGTCGCCGCCCGGAAAGCCCTTCACGCCGAGGCACAGGCCCAGGCTGCCGCGCAATCGGCCGACTCGGCACCTGCCCCGGCTGATGCGCCCCTGGGTGAGGCGGCTCCCGGCCTCAGGCGCACGGTGTATGTCTCAGGCCTGGCGTATGAGTCCACCGAGGCGGCAATCCGCAAGTTTTTCGCCGGCTGCGGCCCGATCGAGTGCGTTCTGCCCCTCCCTCCCCGGCCCCCACCTTCGGCACTTCCAGCCCAGCCTCTAACTCTCGCCCATTCCCACACACACACACACATACACACACACACACACACACACACAAACCTGCACAGGCATCTCAACTTGCCGAAGTTCCGTGACTCCGGCCGCTGCATGGGCTACTGTCACATTACCTTTGCCAAGGACGGCCAGGGTCCGGACTCCGATGACGAGGACGCCGAGGCTGCGGCCCATCCGGCCGTGGTCGCCGCGCTGGCCCTCAATGGTCAGGTTCTGGATGGCCGGTACCTGGACATCGACCGGGCTCGCGGGCATGCCACTGATCGGCACATGGTCCGCGGTCCGGCTCCCCCGGGGGCCGGCACCGAGGACGGCCCGCGCAACATCTACGTCGGGAACCTGCCCTACTCGGCTGTGTCGACCAGTGCCGAGAACGACGCGTCCAACACCAGCGCCACGCTGGCCTCCCTGCGCAAGCTCTTCGAGCGGTATGGCGCTGTGACCGATGTCCGCCCCGGGCTGTGCAGCATGACCGGTCGCTTCAAGGGGTGCGTACACGCCCACCAGCCGGATGTGGTGTTGCCCTGCTGTGGTGCCTCCTGACTGACCTCGTCCTCCCCTCTCTACGCGCGCGCGTGCACACACACACACACACACACACACGTCTCTGTCATAGATTCGCCTACATTCAGTTTGAGAGCGGCCTCTCCACCAAGAAGGCAGTGGAGGACGCGCATGGCCGTCGCCTGGGCGGTCGGCCCCTTCGCGTGGATTATGACGCCTCGGCTGGCCCGCGGGCAGGTTACGATGCCTCTCTCCGTTGGATTGATGGCCGCCGGAACACCTCGTCCTCTTAAGGGGTCTTCCCTCGGTTGGGCATCTGCACCGACACAATCTCCTGCGACCGCCTCGGGCTGTGAGGGCGTGTGGCCACGCCCCCCGGGCCGCGGCTCTCCAGCCGACCCTGGCCGCCGTAAAATACACATTTCTCCACCCCTGCCGAAGCACCGTGTCCTATATACTCCTCCTGGTCCACAGGGGGAGGAGAGGGGGGGGGGACCTCGCAGCGTTAAATGAACAGAAAGAAAACCCTGCACTGCCCTGTGTGTCCACGCGAACAGCTGACAGGGTAAAAAAAAGCCCGCCCACCAAGCTGACCAGGCACCTCAGGGGGGTGTCAAGCCACAGGTGTGTATGGATCTCCATGCATTTGCATGCATGTGTGTCCATGGCGCATGCATGAGAGACAGATACAGGGGGGGGGGGGTAGAGAGCAAAGGGCAGGACAAAAAAAGGACCAACAAAACTCATACAGCTCTATTGACGCATATGCACCTGTACATATACACACAGACACGCAGAGAGAAAGAGGGAAAGAGAGAGAAAGAGAGGGAGAGGGGAGAAGGGGATGAGAGAGGTACATGACGTCCGGGGACAGGGGAGAGAGAGAGAGAGAGAGAGAGAGAGAGAGAGAGCGCGCCCGCTGACAGCAGGAGTGCATCCTCCCCCCCCCCCCGGGCCAGCACCCTACGCGCCCGCGGTGGCACTCACTGGGCGCACATCTTCATGAAGGCCGCATCATCCTCGAAGCAGCCGAAGCAGTAGGTGCTGTCGCCGCGCTTGGCGTAACGGCCATTGTCCTGGCTGTCATCGCCACCCATGCGGCAGGAGCACTGTCCGCAACGGAGACTGCGCTTGGACTGCCCATCGTACTTGACCTCGAACCCGGCCCGCAGGGCTGTCCGGACCACGGCCCAGCAGAAGCGCTCAATGGCCGCGGCATCGCCGGAAGCCAGGGCCTCCGGCGTGACAGCCTGGCTGCCCATGCCGCCCAGCGGCACGCCGACAGCCTTGGCACTGTTGACAGCCAGGTTCATGTTCCCCAGAACATCGTCCCCGGAGGTGGCCCCGGTGTTGATGGCCCGGTCGTCGACGGTGCCGCGCTTGACCGTGTTGACCAGCTTGCACAGGAGAACGCCGTTCTTGGCGGCACGCGCCAGGCCGGCCCGGTCGCGCACAGGAACCAACGAGCTACAGTGCCCATCCCCGGCCAGGCGGGTGTTGATCCAGTCCAGGGCCGCCGCCGTGGAGGACGAATGCGCCGTCGACAGCAGGGGCACCGACATGCCGCCGGCAGCCGGCGAGGAAGTCCCCCCCGCCGGCGAGCCGTAGGTGCTGGTACGGCGGCTGGCCGCCGAAGACCCACCCGCCGACCCGGTGTTGGTGACGATGATCCGCCCCGAGGGGAGTCGCGACACCGACCCGGACCCGGAAGAGGAAGCCAGCGCCGGGCTGCTGCCCTCGCTGCGGGACCCGGTCCCGGTGGCGGAAGAGGACCGCAGGCCCGGGCTGCTGGTGGCGGCGCCGAGGTTCGGCGTGGACGTTTCGCTGGCCGTCCCGGAGAAGGTGTGCGCCGACACCGAGGCCGGCCCGGCGCCAGGGGCCCCGGCCCACTTGGTCTTGTGCTGCTCCCGGCCGAAGCCCTCATCGTAGTTGCCCTTCAGGCGGAAGAGCTGCTTGAAGTGCACCTTGCAATAGTACACCCCATTCATGGCGGCGTAATTGCCAATGGAGAGGGTCTTGTTGCAGGTCTTGCACTTGAAGCAGGCCTTGTGGAAGGCGTGCTTCTCGTCGGCCCGCATGAGCTCCAGCCGGTAGACGGTCTTGCCGCAGGCCGAGCAAGACTCATTGCCGCCGGGCGACCCGGTGGCCGAGCTGGGGGCGGTCCGGCGCTCGGTGGCCGGGGCCGTCACATTGACCACCCCGCCGGAGGACACGGCGGACTTGACACTGGACGACAAGGAGGGAGAGGTGACCCCGGGAGGGAGGCCACCGGAGCGGGCCTCGCGCTGGCGGCGGCGCTCCTCGCGCTCGGCCTCCATGCGGGCCTTGCTGGCGGCCTCGCGCTCGTTGGCCGCCTCCTGCTCGCGCTTCAGGCGCTGCTCGCGCTCCAGGCGACGCGCCTCACGGCGCTCCTCGTACGACATGTTCTCGTACTCGTCCAGGGTGTACACCCGGTCGCCGATCTGGATGGACCCGGCCGGCAGGACGGGCGAAGCGTCGGTCTTCGCAGGAGCGGCGGCGGCGGCGGCGGTGGTGGCGGCGGCGGGGGCCGGCGTGGGCTCCGGCTCGGGCTCCGGCTCCGGCTCATACTCCGGCTCCGGCTCCGGCTCCGGCTCCGGCTCGGGCTCCTCCTCAGGCTCGGGCTCCGACTCGGGCTCGGGCTCCGGCTCGCACTCGGGCTCCGGCTCCTCCTCAGGCTCGGGCTCGGGCTCGGGGGCCTCCTCGATGATCTCAGGCTCGGGCTCCGGCTCGGGCGCCTCCTCGACGACCGCCGGCTCGGTGGCCAGGCTGACGGTGTCGGTGGAGGCGCTGGCGTCCAGGACCGCAGCGGCCACGGGGCTGGCCTCATCCAGCTCGCGCTCGGTGGTGGCCACCGGCCTGGCGGTCTCCGTGGGCCGGGGCTTCGGGGCCTCATCCACCTCGGGCTTGGTGGTGGCCACCGGCTTGGCGGTGTCGGTGTGCTTGGCCCGGGGCGGCTGCGCGGTCGACTGGATCGGGACAAACGACTTGCCGTATGGCGAGGACGAGGGAGAAGCGATGGCCTGCTTGGCCTTCTCCTAAACACCGGTTTGCAAGTTCAAGAGGGTTAGAGCAGCGTGGCCGATAGGCTCTCGGAGGGCGGGGAGGGGGACAGGAAATGACAGAGGGAGAGAGAGGGAGAGAGTGCGGGGGGGGCGGGGAAAGAGCAGGACGGCGGACGAGGGGACAGGAGAAACGCACGCGCTCCAGGCGCCGGGCCTCGCGCTCACGGCGCCGGGCCTCGTAGCCATCATCATCGATCAGGGGGGCCGTGCTGGCCTCGGCGGCGATAGCCTGCTTACGGCTCTCAAATTCGGACTCCACCTCGGCAAGTTGGGCAGCCAGGCGGGCGCGCCGCTCCGCGCGGCGGGCCTCGATATCGGAGGTCATGTTGGTCCGTGGGTAGGGACGGACGAGAGAGAGGGAGTAAGGGGGCAAGAGGGTGCAGCCTATCGGGCGTGGAAGGGCGCGGGGCAGCAGCAGGGAAGCGTGGGCAATAGTCGGTCAGGGGAGGGGAAGAGAGAGAAAGAGAGGGAGAGAGGGAGAGAAGGAAAGAGAGGCGAGGCACAGGTAAGGGACACAATGTGAGGGGGGGGGAGGGGGTGAGGGAAGCATACGTCCACAGGAGGGGCGGTGCGCGGCAATGGGAGGAGGAGAGGGAAGAGGTGGAGGGCAAAGGGAGAAAAGCAGAATCCGGCAGATTCTATCTGTCCCCGAGTCGGGGCCGCTCCGGGGCGAGGGTGGCACCCGAAAAAGCAGCCTCCCCCTCGCCGACCCCGGGGCCGGGGACACCAGAGGACCGGGAGGAAAGCTGCACACACGCACGTTCGGGCACCGCACACTCACCATACCACTGGGGTTGGACAGCGCATTGGGGGTCGCTGCTTTCGGTCGACGTCCAGCAGGGGGAGGCGGGGGGGGGCAGGGCCGCCCCGAGACCCCAGCGGGGCGTCTCCCCGTTGCACAGGAGCCCCTCCCGAGCGGGTTCCGGCGGGGAATACAATGTTAATATAATGAGATATATGCCCCCGATGCACCGCACCAAGGCCGGGAGTCCAACCCACGGGCAAGTAGCCGACTCGAGGCCACCCGTCCCCGGTGTTTTGTCCCCGAGCCACATTGAGCCCCAGCCCCCCCCCCCCCCAGCCTCCATCTGCCGCTTGGCGCCGCAAACACATGCCGGCGCGAGGACCAGGCCGGGAAACGGACTTGGCGCGCCTCGCCGGTTCGGGTCTCATCCGGGCACTGGGGAGTCCCCCCCGCCCCCCCTGCCACCCCCACACGCACTTACCCACACGCATGTACACGCGCGCGCGCACCGACAACATTAACCCTACCCCGTGGAATGTCAACCATCGCGCGTCAACAGGCCCGCGCGGATGCGAGCGCCGGCTCGCCACCTCCGGTCCGTCACCGTCGCAGAGCCCTCTGCGACTGCCACTCCGCTCCGCGTCCCCCCTTCTGGCAGGCCCCCCCTCCGCCCCCTCACCGTGAAGACGCTTCATGAACGTACGCGCGCACGCGCACCTTCACCCGGGCGCCCCGCCGGAAATGGCCTCTTGCAATGTCATGAATGGGGCGGGAGCCAGGAATGCATCCTGGCGTGTGCCAACTGTCCGAGCGGTGTTGCCAGCACCTGATCTGGTCACCACCCCGCCCACCCCCCTAGATCGCCACACACAAAACCAGCACCCGCTCCAACGGGGATGGCGGTGCCGATCCGCGGCCGATCGGCCTCGAGATTGCCCGAGGGGGGGGGGGGGGGGTCCGCGGCTGCACGGCCGGAGTCGATCCGGCGAAAGGAAAAGGATGCCCCAGTTGGCCAAGCACCACCGTCGACCACGCCCCACTTCGCTCCTCGCCGCCCCTGCTCTCCGGCTCGTTTGTTGTACTTTGCCGCTTTCCACCCCCTCCCCTCGCGCCCGATGAGCGGCCGTGAAAAATGGTCCCGCTGTCCTTCTCCTTGCTGAAGGACGCGGCGCTGGTGCTGCTTCTCCATGCGGTCCTGGCCCTGCTGGGGGACTACCTCTTCTCCGAGCGCCTCTTCAAGGGGTACTCCTTCTCTAGCCTCACATCGTCCCCGAGCGCCGGCGGCAGCCAGAGGAGCCCGACCGGGTGGGCTCTGTCCCGCCGGTGGAGGTCCACCTCATCGGGGCCGCCGCTGCGCGGGACCCTCGGCGACGACGGCCACGCCAGCGGCCCACCAAGCGACGCGGCTCCTCGTGGCCTCCGGGGAACACTCGGCTCGCTGGGCCGTGGGCGACTTGTGCGCCCTCTTCTTGCGCTGTTCCTGGATCCCCATGCGACCGGGCTCCGGGTACGGGCCCTCTTCCTCGGATCCTTCGTATTCAGCGGCATGCTCCTGTGTCTGATCATCCTGGAGCTGGCGCAAGCTGGCGATCCTTGGTGCGTGACGGGTCATCTTGTCCTCCCCGCGGCTCATGTGCGTGTGGGCTGGTGGAGTTACCTTCCCAATACTGACATCCATGATGGCCCGACAGGTTCCGCAAGCGTGTTTGGCAATTCGAGCTTCTCGCCACATCCATCCTCTCGTCGGTAGTCATTCCGGGCTTTCAAATCTTTCTGATTGTTCGAAGCCCCGGTGCGTGCTGCCTCTCTCTCTCTCTCTCTCTCTCTCTCTCTCTCTCTCTCTCTCTCTCTCCCTTCCTCCCTCTCGCTTTCCATCCTCTCGGTCCCTATTCTTGATTTGAACATTCGTACTCGTACCTCGTGCCCGTGTCACCTCGACGCTAATGTCCTCCCCCCCTCTCCCTCCCTCTCTCTTTGGATATCTATCCCCCTCCCCCCTGCCTTGGTCCACATGCCCGCCACCACCAGGGCAAGCACCTTCCATGTTTCGGATTCTATGTGGCACCGTGGCCTATTGCATGTATCTGATCGGCTTCTTTCTGATCGGCTTCTGGTTCCCCATTTCCACCTCTTTCAGTGCGTCATCGGTTCTCCGGCCATCTCGGGTCCTCTCCCCCCCCCCCCCCCCTTCAGCCGTCTGACTCAGCGTCTTCGGCCCCTACTCCCATATCGTTGCCCACGTTTGGCAGATATCTTCTCCATTGAGGCCCTCTTCGGCCGGGTGGCCATCATTGGCATCACCCTGTCGGCCCTGCTGGCCGGCTATGGTGCCGTCAACGGCCCGTACTCCAACATGACGCGCTTCATTGGGTGCGCCCCCCTGCCTTCCATCCGGACATGGATCGAGCCGTTGCCCGCGGACTATTGACACCGCTTCTCCCCCCCCCCCCCCTCTCCCGACCCCTACCATGCCCCCTCATGGCACCTGCCCGCGAATGCCAGTGCCCGCTCGGTCGACATCAGTACCATCAGACATCAGGAGGCCCAGCTCCGGCTGTTCGTCCGGCAGCTGTATGCCCAGCGCTTGCGCCTGGCCACTCTGGAGAACCGGTATGCCGAGCTCCAGGCCGGGCGGCGCCTCTCTTCCGGCGGTGGCCCTCCCGAGGCGGCCAGTCTTTCCGCTCACGGCCAAGCCCTTCGAGACAAAGGCGCCCCCATGAGCGATACCATGTCTGTCGGGCTACGTTCGGCGCAATCGTTCTTTTCGGCCCTTTTCCCCGACGTCGCACCGGTCGAAGGTACATGCCCTGCCCCAGGCCCGCTGCCTCTTCGGCAGCGCAAGATGTCCACGAATTTGGGCGGCCATCGCCCTGCTCATTTATCCCCC